TGACATGGACATGCAAAATAACGATAAGACTACACTTAAATGCTATTTCTTAGTTAGATGATGCTATAAGACAAACATGGTAAGCGCAGTATTTCCCATTTAGAAATAAGGTCCAGTTTGTAAACAAGCTGGGGTTCTCAATAAAGGATATAAAAATTCCTTCACAAAATCTGAAGGAAATTATCACAACACCAAGTGACAAGTTCAGGAAACTGTAAATGAAGGATGCACATATCAAGAAGCCCAGCTTTGGATGCCCACATTTGAAACAGCTGAAGCTAAAGCCTTTGATGATTGCAAACAACAACCTCAGGACAGAAGATTTTCTTTATCTTTCATCAGTCCCTCCAAGAAAATTGCAAAATAGCATTTCAAATTAGACCATGACCACTTCCATCCATATCCTTTCCAATTCAGTATCATCCTGTTATTCAACAAAAAGATAATCTGAGCTATTGAAAACATTGGCAAGAAAACCAAGCATAAATAAATAAGTCATTTTTAGTTAAATGCCCTTAAAACAAAAAATGAGCTGTCTGCCTATAAATAAGTAATTTTTAGTTAAATTCCCTTAAAATTAAAAATCAGCTGTCTGCTTATCTCCAATGGCAATCAGCAAAGTTCATGACCTCTTGTAACAAAGTCCAAGTTAGAAATGTTATTAGTAACACAAACCTACTTATTTCCTCTTCATATTCATGACATATAAAGATTGTTAAAAAAAATATATGACCGGTTTTAAGGGGGTATAGTACTCTCTTAAAATAGCAAAAATTCCCAGTTATATCCAGAATTCAATGCCTGCTGAGATATGGGCGATATTCATATGATCTCTAGAGCAGATGTTCTATGTGGTTCCCATGCATTTCAACACAACTTTCAGATCTTCAGCACACAGGGGTGTGCACTCTGTTGAAAATTCCTGGTTTCACTTAATCTCCTGATAGGCATTCTCTATTCATTGCTGCAATACCTCTAAGTCACTGACTGGCACTGCATACACAAGTGTCCCCACAGCCAGAAATCAGGACTATTAAGGTCAGCAGATTGTGCAGGCCACTTGACTGGGCATCTGCATCCTGTCTGCTCTTCAGTAAAGTCTGGTTCAGATGCTGTCTGATAATGAGGCAAACAGAAGGTGGTACACCATCATGTACGAACCACATGTGTTGTCACTGATGAAGAGGCACATGTTCCAAGAATACTGGTAAATCATTCACAAAAAACAATGGTATAATGCACTGTTAGTCTATTAAGTAAGACACCTGGCCCTAAGAGGTCATCACTTAAGATGTCCACCCACTGATGGAAAACTGATGTTGATGACTTGATGCCATGGTGGTGTAGGAATTGTGATCCACACAGACATGGGTATTATGAAAGTTCATACCACTGTCCCCTGTGAATCCTTCCTCTTCATTAAGCAGCATGTTTGGCACAAATATGGCATTTACAATGCATTTTACAGTGCTATCCTAGTGTTCAGTCAAATGCAAAACTCACCCATGTCACAGCAGGCATTGATTTTCGGAAATGTTGACTGGGACTTTTTTGCTTGTTTAAGTGAGTACTGTACACCCTTGAGGCGTATAACCCTTCTTTAATACCCTGTATATATATATATTGTGGCATATTGTTCTATGCAGGAACTGTTGAGCCACAGAGGCATCGGGGCACAGATGCAATGGGACAGTTATGGATTGTACCGGCATGTTGCTAGGTGACAACTCTGTGAATGCTTGGACAGCGCAACAGGAAGTGCAAGTGACATCACATATCCCCACTCATTCCGTCACTACGCAGCGCTCGGTAAACACCCCTCCCACTAGGCTGTGACATCACGCAACAGTGGAGTCCGAGTAGCGACCGTTGCTAGGCAACTGGTCAGTAAACACGTCTAACAATATAGGCTGTATAGGCTGTTTCTGTGTGGTCAGTGAGGTGAATGTAAGGGGGTTCAATGCACCAGGCAGTTCAGTTGAAGTCTAGCAGTCACTTAGTTCAGCTGTATTGAGGGAATGGAATCGAGACGGTTTTCAGAGTTCAGTTGAAATATAGCAGCTGCCAAAGACAGTTGAAGTCCAGAAATGACTACAGCAGAAGTAATTGGGACACTGAAATTGCGAATTGTGTAAGTGTGGATAAAAGTGCAATAAATTCGCTAGATCCAAGACCGGAGTTAAGTTATTTGTTGCGTCACACAGCCAACACAAGACAATATATATATGTATAAAACACAGCCTATTCAAAGGTGTAATCCTTCCTACAAATACAGAGGCTATGGCAGCCAATCATTAATAAGAAATTCTTTCTGCAAGACAGTATCTTCCACTGAAAGCGAGACATGGAAAAATACAGGTTCCTGGAGAATGTGACACTAATTAAACACAGAGGAGGACAGTTACTTTTTGGATTACTGGAAATCCTGAAGACAGGAATCAAACCCACAACTCACTTACAAGATGAATACTCTATAAACATAAAACATCAAATGATCTCTGAAGGTCCTAACAGCTTATTTAACATTATATATGACATTTCCCTTCACCACATCATTCAAAAGGATTAATTAGGATCTTCAAGTGGGAAACTCCCTTAGCAAGGCGGTATACTTTCATTAAAATGGGTAGGTCTGCATAGTCATATCTTGCATATAAAGGAACACCAGAATGAAGTACCAGAGAAAGGTCCAATCTGATAACCTAGGAAGCCTTTATCAGCTCAGGTGTCATCCTAATACTGAAGAGCAACAAGTTTACAGACCTCTGGCAGAACTTCCCTACACCAACGAGAATAAACATCTTTACCTACTGCTTACTATTCATGCCTATAGATATAGCATAACAACTCTAAAAAACTAAACTAAGATCTGTTACAACTTAGTGACAAAATTGCAAAAGCCAAAATATACATTAAGAAGTGTAATTAAATTAATTACCACAAACATCCAGCAATTAAAGTAAAATAAATAATACTTTTGTACATCCTCCATCTGAACCAATCTAATATGTCATGGTAGTATTTTCTTCAGACACTGCCTATTATTTAAACAGAAATACAACTCTGAAGACTGCACTGTCTCAGTTCTCAGAATTGGGGAAGAGTATCCTATTCTGAGGAATCCATCAGATAAAGCTAGTACTTATCACTGGACACAGCCAGCATTCCTGATTCACATTTTACTCTCACCTCCCACAGTGTTTTCATACATTTTCTGGATATAAATTTCACCCCCGGCCTTTTCTAAAGCTTTCTGATGAAGATCAGACTTATCTAATTGACCCCACATACTAAAAATCCTTTCCTTTCACCTAAAAATGGAGGTAGAGCAAACCTTTAAAATTTTATGTGCATTTGTTTCCAGACAATAGATTATGCCCAAAGAAAATAAGCCTATGTTAATACCAAACAACTGTCACAAACCTTTAAAACCCCATTACCTAATATGACACTAATATTTTAATCTTCAAGTACAGAAAATATAAATTATGATGGACTTATTTCAAAAAGTGTTTGATGCACAATTCATATGTTAAATTGGATCAAAGCATAGTGGCTAATGCAAATATTTTATGTATATCAATATTCATTACTTATTTTATGTAGTCCATTACCTTGGATCCCAACTCAGACCAATAAAAACAAGAACACTCAAATCTAGTGATTAAAGCCAGGCCCTACAAATACATCTAAATAGGTATTATTCACACTGTCACCAAGTCTCCAATGACAGCAGGAAAACTTTAAACCCTCCAGATAAGTGACACTATCACCCATCTCAGTTTCTCATTAGTTTATCATCACAAAAGATACATGGGAACAAAGATGGAAGAAAAGCTTTCAGTTTGTAGATGCCACAGATCTACATAAATATTACACATGGATGCTTCTGCTAATGGAAATTTTATGACTCAATGCAACCAAACTAGTTACTGAACATACTGAAACAATACCACATATACATTAAAATTTGTGGCCACAGCACACTTTGGCTGCCACTGTCAAGCTCTCAAGAGCATCACATTCCTGTATTCAAAGCACACAATACACAGTGAAGATAATTAAGGTAGTATCAAGCAATACCACAAAACATTTTCACTGCTGCAAGACAATGTAACATGCTTTGTACTACATTAACCTGCAGTCTCCCTCGCAACTGCCATTAAGCAGAAAAGCTATTTATAGGTTTGAAGTACTATTACAGTATAAATAGGTTCCATTACTATTATTACTGATGTTCTTGTTCCTATTAGTATTAAAAAATATAGGTTTAAATATTTTTCAGGCCTTCTAACTGAGCCAGTCCTGGTAACATAACTGATGATGCACCAGCTAATCTCATTACAGGTCATTTGTAGTTATCAAATTTTAACTTATTTTCTGGCATTTTTACCCTCTACCTACTACATTCAAAACACAAAAGTTTGGTGCTATCTAATCTAGTTTTTCTCCAAATATTTAAATTTTAAGTGGAATTTCACTGTTTTACTATATTATAATGGGTATAGACCTTTCAAATTTATTACATTCTGCTACATTACCACAGGCAAACGATAAATAAACTGTCAAACAGGGTGCCTAATTTACAAAAAAAAAAAAGTGAAACACATGATGAGGAGCAGAATGCTTAAAAGAAAAGGGTTCTAAAATGCATGCATGACAAAGGAAAAGAAAAATAAGTTTGCTGTTGATATTAGATCACAAATGTTGTTTATGAACAATCAAAATACCTGTTTACATATCTTCATTCACATTTCTTTCTTTAACATCAATTCACAATGTCAACAGTTGAAAATCCAGGGAATGTAAACGGACCTTTCTCTTGTGAACAGAAAGTGGTGTTAGCTACACACTAACTGATTACCTTTGATCCAATTTATTCACAATCATGAAAATGTTCACCAAACAAGAGAGAAGCGTTTCTTCTTTGGCACATGGTTAACAGTAATCTTTTTCAACATTCCTGCTGCCGTGCCTTTACGAGGTTTGAACAAGTTTACCTGCAGTCCAACCTTGATCTTCTTTGTGAGAGCCCCTTGTGGGAAGACAGCCTGTACTTGAGGTACCACACTGGATGACACCATGCCTCCCTCAGGTCCTATGGCATGCACCTCCTGACGGATTCGAGACACCACAGCGAAGTACTGGGGAAAGTCTGTGGTCAGAATTCGGGTCATGCGGCCAGAGGTGGTCTCCTCCAAAGCAGTCAACTCTGCAAATGAATCATACTGCAGCTAAGATTGAATTCAATGCACCAACTTGGTCCTATATGACCATGTAGATTTTACAGTCCAAAAATAGCAGCTGACATTTATACATTTCAAAGTTACTTGATACGTAATATCCTAAATTACCAGTCTTGCTTATGTTAATTCCATTTAAACACAGATGTGTTCGTTGACTGAAGTGTATTATATGAATATAAAACGAAGACTACTCAATGGATTTTGACAAAAGTTGGCAGTGGGAAATCTACAGCGATAGTTTTCAAGTGAATTTTATTTTGGTCCAGTGCAACCCCTACTTCATATGAATCTCAAATCACAATATTTAAAAAGAATTAATGCCACATAGCTTACAGACATCATTAAGACCCACAATTTTTATTAAAACCTAAATATTCAATGAAACACAAAGAACAAATTGTACCTCTCTACACTGTAATATCTGTACTGACTCATGAGGAACAAAATAACAGGAGCCTGGAGAAAAATGCACAGTGAGAATTTCAATAACTCGCACTCATCTCCAAATATAATTAAAATGATCATGTCAAGGAGGGTGAAATGGGAGCACATGTAGCATGCATGGAAGAAGCGGCCTCCATAGTCTAGGGGTAACATTCCCACCTCATGACTCAAGGTACGCGGGTTCAAACCCGGCGGAGGTCGTGGAATTTTTAAGGGCGGAAAAATTCAGGGAACAAGTCCTCCGGGAGGGACTTTAAGCCGTGGGTCCCGTGTCGTAGATTTACGGCACGTAAAAGATCCTCATGTCTCTAGGAGACCTCTGAGCAAAATTAGGCAACAATTTCCCACCCAAGTAGTTTCCAATGCCTCTGGTAGATGTGGGAAATATCAGGTACTGACGGCTGACCTCATTGGCTGAATGTGGCTGATAGCACGCACCAGTACCGGTAGGGTAGAAATTAAAGGGGGACGCACAATGGACCAATAACTGGTCTAAGTGCATGGGGAAACACACCCCTTCTAATAATAATAATAATAATAATAATAATAATAATAATAATAATAATAATAATAAAATAATAATGCATGGAAGAAGAGCGATGCGCACTTGTACAGTGCCCTTCATCATATGCACGCTGGGGAGTACTCAAATGTGTGGGAGCCTTTTCTCTCTTATACCTGATTATCGAAATAGATGTGAAGAGTTTCCAAAATGTTGTGTTTAAAAAAATAGTCAAGATGACAGACAATATCCAAAGTAACAGCCATGCTTATTGTTACATACAATAACCAGAAACTTCTAGACCTGTATACAATTTATTCTCCTGCACAGCCTAATGTTAATATCACTGAGTAGCTTTTCACCAAGAGGACTGTATCTGCAAACAGGAGACATAAAATCACAAAAAAGGACATTCGGCAAATATATGTATTTCAAATTGGAATACATTCTTCTCACTTTTGTTCAATTTTGTTCTATATTATTACAGACCACTTTTCCATCGATATTCAAAAGCCTCAGCACTTATAACTAAATGATATACATTATATTTTCCATAACTTTTATATTCCTCCTCCTTGCAAAATATATTAAACTATTTCTACTATTTCACTCACCTTCTCCCTCAAAACTCTCATTGAGCACTTCATGAACAGCTTCTTCACTTGCCTCCAAGGTGTGTTCACGCCATGTTTCACCATTGTCAGAGCGAAGAATAACAATTTCACGTTCCATGCCACGAAGAGACCCAAAATGTGGCACTTCGATGATCACAGGTCTGGGGAATAGTTTAACTTACTTTAAGTTCCACAGAAAAATTCAAGGGATATATAAGAAAGTTTTATACAAAATGTTACTATTCTTTCTTTTCGCAATGCATGTAGGAGAGCTGCCTGTTTTTGGCACCATAAAACTGATACCAAAGCTAGAATAAAGAAAAGTAAAGCTATCCCTGTAACAGGCTGTGAAGGCCCATAGGGTTGTGAGACATCAAGGTTCCCACATTTTCTCCAGACAATCGGCTCACAGACAGCAGTAAGGTTGTCTTATGATCTGGCTACCCTTTACCACCCAGGAAGATTCCTGGTACTCATTTCTGTTAGAGGCTGAGTCGACCCCAGGGTCACAGTGCAGCTGGAAGAATTAGGTAAACTGGAAAAAATCCACCTCATTGAGACTCGAACCCATGACCTTCTGGCTTGTAGCATAGTGCCTCCACCAACTACACTACCCCATGCCTACTAAAGCAAAAATAAATAATGATTCTGTATGCAACAGTATCTGTTTCTGTAACCTTGTGTAAGTTTCTGAGCCAGCTCAAACTTCACAGACTCTCAACCTGTTTCTCTAAGAATCATCTCCTGTGTCCTGCAAAAGGTTTCTTCAACAAAGTTTCACAGGCATTTCTTATGTCTTACATCTAAATTAAAATTAAATATTCTAATAGTACTACATGAGCTTATAAATTATAACATTCCTCATTATAAACATCTTCCATTCCAAACTGAAATGACATCCTTTATTTCCATTTATGCTGAAACTTTCCCTTACCATATTATTTTCGAATACTTGGAAGTTATGTCCTTTCCACCAAGCAATATGCTAACTTCTATAAACATGAACAAAACTGTACAGAACTATTAGGCTTATTTTGGACTCTATCCATCGTCTGATATAAAGACAAAAACCACAACATACAGTGATTGAGACTAGCTCTTTCTAACAGGCCCAACTGGGTAGGTTTATCCTGCACCATCCACCTGAGGACAGAAACAGAGCCAGTCTCCAAAACGTTGTGGTTTTTGTCTTCTATATACCAGACGATGGATAGGGTCCAAAATAAGCCTAATAGTTCTGCATACACCATCGCCAGAATCCTTTCAAGTCTATTTATGAACAAAATTATAGAATTATAATAGTTGAACTGATTAACAACACATATTTCTTGAATTTTTTTCTTCTCCATGTCACATTGGTGTTTGTTGGTGTTCCCAGATATTTAAGTCCTAAAATATTTTCAAATGGTGTTTTATAGCAACTGAGATTTTTAAGCAGTTCTGAAATAAGTAAAACCCCATACTTCCCAGTCTACTAGAAATGGCTGCTCACCCTAGAAACTTGGCCCCAACTGGACCCAGCTCAAGTATACGGCTTGCAAGAGCTTCACCCTCCATGAGGGGTGGAGGATGACTGAGCTTGTCCCTCTTCAAGTAACGGCAGGTAACTCGCATGGGCATGGTAGCTTTTCGAGGGGGTACAATTACACGAACACCACTGTGCCTGCAGCCACGCATGGCTCCACCTCGAGCATCCACCAGGAAGCTGACCAAAAAACTGCAGAACATATCACCACATAACTATTTACTAATTTCTGAAGCAGTGCATCAAGCTTAATTACTGAAATTCTGTTTCTGGTTGAACTTATTCATGCTTTCAATTTAGTATGATATCCATCAATAAGCGTGACACATTTTTTGACAGACACAGAGAATTATCAACATCAGAGACACCACAAAAAAAGGGCAGACTGCTAACCTTCTGACCACTCACATGTAATCAAAAGCAGTCTGCCAGAGCCTTCTTTCCCAGCTCACATATCTAAAACCTTTGATATTTCTGAGCAATGTTCTGTCATACTGGAAATTAAAGGCCTATATTTTATGTCTGGTACAGGATTTCAGTATAAATTAGCCTAATATTAGAACTGTACATAAAACATAAAAAAATTAAATTATTCTACATAAATTTCAGGATATTATAATTTATATAAAATTAGCAAAATGGCTCACAGATTTTTAAATATTGTACAAACATGGAGAAAAACATTAGACAAAATATATGCTAAACTGAAGGAACAATATAATAGTATTTTCTACTTCTACTGCATTTAATACCCTCAACAACTTTGATACTCATTTCATCATAAAATTATGGTTCACAGACATCAAAACAACTTCAATAAAAATATTCATATACAGTCATATTCTAAAAACACAATTTATATACGAGGGGGTACCCAAAATAAACCAAACTTATTTTTTTTAACTTATTTATTCAAATTTTAAGCACAAACCTTCAATCCCATTCAAAGTACTCTCCACTTACACTAATACACTTGTCTAGTCTTTTATTCCATTTTTCAAAACATTGTCTAAATTCATCTTTTGAGATGCTTGACAGCGCCTCCGTCGTTTTTTCCCTTCATGTCTCTTTTCATTCAAGGAAACAAAAAAAAGTCGCACAGGGCAAGGTCGGGTGAGTATGGAGGGTGAGGAACAGGGGTCATACCATTTTTGGTCAACAACTGTCATACAGACAGGGCTGTGTGAGCAGGGGCATTGTCATGATGGAAAAACCAGTCACCCGACTGCCACAAATCTGGCCGCTGAGCTCCAAGTCACTCCCGACAGCTCCATAATTTCTTCAATGGTCCGTCCTCGATCTTCCTTGATGATTTCACGATTTTTTTCAACATTTTCATGTGTTTGGGCTGTGGAAGGATGACCAGAACGAGGTTTGTCATCAATTGACATTTCGCCATTTTTGAAACGGGAAAACCACTCAAACACTTGAGTTTTCCCCATAGCATCGTCCTTGTATGCCGTTTTTAACATTTCAAGAGTTTCTGTTCCACTTTTCCCGAGCAAAAAGCAGAATTTCACCGCTGCACGCTGTTCACGAAAATCAGACATTGCAAAAACGATGATCACGCAAAACAGTTGTCACTATAAACTCTGCCGAAACTAGTCCTTACCTTCTGAAGTAACGGTAGTCGGCTTATTGACTCAGGAATGTTAGCTCTATGTGCTCATAGCTGCAAAATGCGGTACTACAAAAGTTCTGCCCACAAAAAAATTAGTTCGGTTTCTTTTGGGTACCCCATTGTACTTCATTTCAGTGGAATTGGCCATATATATAAAACTACTCTTCATGTTGTCTCACATATTTCTAGAGGGACTGGATGAATAAATCCACTACATATGGAAATTTTTAAACAGACAGTTACTTACCTTCCATGTGAACAATTGAAACAAACCATAAAAAGGCAGTCCACAGTATGCTATGTATTAATTTCCCAAATATTACCATAATATTCTTCTACATAATTCTCACATTCATCTCACTCATACATGGCCAAACATGTAATTCATCTAAGAATACAGCAACCACATTCTGCAGCAGGGATACGAAAACTTAAAAAAATGTTGGCCTAATTCATGAAATATTGCAAACTGCAGGCATACTGTAAACTAAATGAAAAATCAAGTGGGCACATGAAAACTCTGATGATGTTGAGCACAAATGATCTAGATAGTGAAATTTCACAGCCACTAGGAAGCTACTTCTCATATAATTTTCTGCCCTTTTACACCTTGAAGCACGAAATTCAGTTTTTAGCTTGCAGAAAATATTGCAACAGATTTGATCAATGCATTGCCAGGCAACAGTTCTATAAACATGTTCCAACATGCAACAGTAGAGGAAGCTGTGTTTCTGACGCGCCAATGAACTAGCTAGATAGTGACCACGTGATGTGTGTTTACTTAGGTTCATGTCCGTTCCGCAGCCATATAAGTAAGAGTGACAGAATTCATTCAAGGTAATTACAAGTATTAGTAGTGGCAGAGCATGAAAACAAGAGTAAACAGTTATCAGCAAGAGTACAGGAGTAAGCTGGAGGAGTTCAGCAAGCAAGCGGCAAGTTTGAGCAGTGCAGAAGAGTACAAGAATTCACCCTCTGGAGACTTCACGTGTGATTTGAAGACTTTATGTGTGCTTTAGCACAGTGATATTGGGAGTGTGAGATTTAGTGAGACTTCTATAGTTCCTGTGTTATAAATCCATGAAGACTAGTGCAGACAGACTGAAAAGATTAGCATGGAGTGCTTTGTAGTGTGAAAGTCAGTAAGAGTGTTAAAATTATTTGTAGTTATGACCTGTAAGCATCCAATAAATCCAATTACCAATCTGAACCCCATCTTTAGTCACTGGGACATGTGACAGTATCCTTACAAAGAACAATGGGTTAATGCAAAATCATACAGAACACATGAATGTACTCTGAGGTTGAAATGCAGAGGTCTTTAATGTTAAAACAGGCAGTACATAAAGTATTTGCTATGCTTCAAAGAGCTAATGTCTAACATAAGAGCCTTTGCTACATAAATTTCTAACCATATATACCATTACAATTACTTACTTCTTCCAGTGCAGTTTCCTGAGATATGCCAATTGTTGATAGAAATAAGAGGAAATGTAACATGTTAGTTCATAGACAGATTTATCAATATTATCAGTAATTTTAAGATCATTTCCAAGAGTAAACACAACTGTAATTGGTTCAATAAACCAATTTACATAATAAATTGTGTCGTAGACTCTGTTGGAGTTGGAAGTTTAATATTTATATACTGCTGAATGAGGCAGAAATAGAAACAGTTAACATGTAAAATGCTAAGTTCCGTGCAAAATGGTCATTTTTTAAGTCATTCAGTGGGGTTACAAAATTTGATTTTCATTAATACCAACACAACCATTCTGTTTAGTATTTCATATTTCTCTTGACATCTGTATTCACAATTAATTTAAGTGCCTATAAACAGTCAAGACATTCTGTCTATTTATAACAGACAGGAAATATTGACTAATGATTATCCACAACTAGGATATGACTAGCAGTCCTTTCTCCTGATTGCAAAAGCAAGGTAAATTCTTTAGCTACCACAGTTAAGAAGAAGAAAATTTAATTATATTTCAAAAAAGAAAATGTAAGTTACTAAGAATCCTCAGTATTACAATTATATTGGTATTAATTCTTTAGATCACTGATATCTGATTTCACTTAATCAGATCATACTAATGCCTGGTTAGGATGAGCTGGGCGTGTATCATGCACGGGAGAAGCAAGAAAGTCGTACTACATTTTATTTGGGAAGCCTGAAGGGAAGATACCTACAAATAGTTTGGATGATAATATTAAAATATAACTTAAATCAACTGGAGGTCAACCTGTGAACCACATTCCTCTAGTTCCGAATATTACAAGTAATCACCAGGCTCCATAAAGGCAGAGAATTTCTTTACTAACAGAACACACTGTTAGCTTTGAAGGACTCTGTTTCATGGTTACCGTTGGTCTTTCAGTCAGCTACAACACATTATTTATTAATCTTTTCAATGTTATATCAAAGCTTCTTTACTCAGTCATGGTGGAAATATGCCAACTCCCAAAAAGATCTAATAATTTGTGACAATGGTATATCAATACAACAATTACATTTTTGGACATTATCCATCTTCCTATTTTTTATTTGAAACACAACATTTCAGAGACTTAAGATGAACCCCTCTTCATGACCAAGATGTCCATGAAGAGGGGTCTTAAATTGGCAATGAAAATGTTCCAGGAACCCACTCATTCAGGTCATTATGTGCATTTCAATGCAAACCTGCCATATAATGTGAAAAATGGAGTCATTCAGAGCTTGATCAGTAGAAGCAAGGTCATATGTATACCTTGTCTTGTGTTGGTACTGGTGTCTGGAGACAGGGATTAGATCTATTGATTGGGCCCAACAAAGTAGGTTTTACTTGAAGACAGAGACAGAATCCAGACACTGAAATGTTGTGTTTTAAATACAAACAGGATGATGGAAAATATTAAAAAAAATTGTATACCAACTGTTAGTCAATGCTTTTACCTTCATAATAGCTACTTAAACAGGACTGAAAAGAGACAACGGTAACAATGCAACAAGCAGTCCTTCTTAATGGTACATTATAGATGAAATAGGCAAAGAGTAAAAATGTCAAAACAAAGACGTTCACAATATTGTCTCTAGAATAGTTATTAAGTATGACCCAGCACCAGAGTATGTCACACAAGCATACTTTCATTTACAGTGAAGGGTTACCAGACTTAAAAGTGAAAATTGTTTTTCATACTCACCCCACATGAACAGGGTGTCGGTTAATATCGATATTGTCAGGAGTGTAGTGTGTGGCAGTGAACTGGGCATAACTCTCCTTCACATGTTGTGGACTGATGGTATCATCCACAGCTGTCGGAGGAGCTGCACCCATATACATCAAAGTTATAATGAGCAATGTTGGCAAGGAGCACAGGATATCACTAGCAGGCACATTTCATTGGATTTACTGGGTTTTCAGACTTTGTAAGACATCCACTATTCTAAAAACTAGAGAACACAACATTTTGGAAACTGGATCTGATTCTGTCCTCAGGTGAGGGGGCAAACATTTACTGTGTTGGGTCTCTTAGAAAGAGCTAACCTGAATCACTGGACAACCCATGTCAGTATAACTACAGCTATATAAACACCTGAGACCAGTCCAAGTCAAAGGGAGGTAACAGGAAAATATGCAATAAAATTGAAATAATGTTCTATCGATTTCTGAAACGTTTGTACTCCTCTGAAGCACACTTACATAATGGATATACACAGACCCCAGAGGCCTTTCCTCTTTATTCGGATGACTGCTACCTTTAGAATTAACAACCAAGTCAATTACACCTTGGGAAAACCTGTTGAGCTGAAAATAAAGTCTCAGGCTACTGATCTTGGAGATCTTGTTGTTGGCATACCAAGGAAGCTTTATTGTGAAGACTCTGAATTACACCTCTTTTCACATGTGGCAGACAGATTTGAAGCTGGGATATCTAGAAGTGTGGGTGGGTTTTCTGTAGACTTAAGTGGCCAGTGTCATTTCTTTCCTTACAACCAGAACATCCAGCAAAGGAGCATTGTCTGACTCTTATTTCCACAGTGCACTGGATGGAAGGCCTTAAAGTTGGAAATGCTGTAAGTACTCTGGACCATGAGGCCAGACCACAAAGTTGTCATCAACAAACTGGGGCCACAGTAATGGCTTGTGTCATGCTGAGTAGAGAGCCAGTTTCTCAAAATGCTTCATGTAGATGTTGCTAATGATGAGTGACAGAGAGATTCCCATAATCATGCCCTCTTCCTGGTGGAAGAACTTGTTCTCCTGAAAATATGTGGTTGTCAAACAAACTTCAAGCAGTTCCATAATGGCTTCGACCTGCAAGACAGATCATTCCACCAATGTGTCATCAATATGAAGCTCATTTCTGAAAAATCTGAGAGTTTTCTACAAGATTTCAGTCCCGAGTGTTCAGTTTCTACTCCACAGATTATGCTAGTGGTAGCCAAAAGATGGTTTCACAAACTCTCCATTTAATCCTATGTATTGTTTTCATTGACTTAGTTCATTGGTTAGGTTTGTTGCACAAAATATTCACCTCCTTTTCTGTCTTAGTTTCAGATCTGTACATGCTTTATGGCAATTTGATTGCATATTTTCTTGTTATCTCCCTTTGACATAGCCTGGTCTCAGATGTTTATACAGGTGTAGTTATACTGACATGGGTTGTCCAGTGATCGAGGTTAGCTCTTTATAAGGGGCCCAACAGAGTAGGTGTCCACCCCTTCACCTGAGGATAGAAACAGATCAAATTTCCAAAATGTTATGTTCTCTAATTTTTAGAATCCCAGATGATGGAGAAGGTCAAAAACCCAGTATTTCTACATGCTATACACCAGCATTAGAACCCATTAGAATCTACCTTTCATTGGCTTTGGTATTTAACAAATATTGCCTAAGAAGCAACGAGCACATAAAAAATATACTCCATACAAAATATTCAATTTTTTCCTCATGTTTTAAAAACAAACTAATATTGAAATATGTCTAAATGTATACTGATAGCGTATGTTCAACTAGATCCAAAATTACATTCTCTTATCTAAAAATATGAGTGCTGGATTCGATGCTCTTGCAGTGGTGACTATGAAGAGCATGTTATTTTTGGTTGCAATGCTGTGTAATTCAGAAAAAGCATTAGAATTATGTATGACTTCTCTCTGCTTCTAACTTTCACTCAGGGCATAAACTGACCCCTTTCAGGCGCAAACTAAGATGCTGGTTCCATTACTCCTATTGGTTCTCTAAGCTCCCCCTTATAGAGAGTGGTCACTATCCCTCTGACCCTCCCACAGTTCCTTTCAGGTTTTCGCTAGACTATATGAAGCCTGATTTTCCATATGTGGTTCACTCAATTTTCAGTCTGCTTCTTAATAGTTTCTTGCTTGGCTTATACTTTGACCCAGAATATGGCACCAATATGTTCCTCTGAAATACTAGCATTTTGCAAACTACGCAGCACTCTAACACAGAAGAACACATGTTTCACAACACCATATTTCATCAAAATGTGTTCAACAGATCAACATTATTATGTACATAATACAGATGGACAGACAAGGCAAAGTCAACATATATTCACACATTTCTGCAAAATGTGTCTAAAATGAAGTCAGATTTAACCCTGTCATTAATTTTGGTTGTTATAAATAATATGGTAAACACATCTGTTAACATGATATTTTTTGTCTTCCTGTACAAATATATAGGTCACATGTTCCATGTGTCATACTTAAATCTGCAATACAGATTAATTTCAAGAAGACAGCCAGAGTTTCCAACTGAATGTTTACATAAGTCCTTCATTTTCATTTTTGATTAATAATGATAAGTTTGGCACACAGCCTTATGGAACAGAGACATCATATCAGCAGTGAAGGGGTTGAAAATATTTGGACAGCATATGTACCAGGACTTTTCTCTTCATCACCACAAGCACACAGCTTCTGACACACTCTTCCCTCCTTGCCCCTCTATAAGGCATGCAAGATGTTCTTTCTCTAGAATTAAAGCAGCTACAGCATACAGCAAACCACTTACTCCAGTCTAGTGTCAAGGTCTACACTGCATGGTGCTCTACCACCACTCAAACCATACACTTCACTAAGATAACTTTGCCTTTGCCTTAAATTCTCATGCTCTGAAAATTAAAACTGAAAAAACGGCCTGGAGAGGGACGAATCACCGGAATAAATACAGCAGTTTATAAAAACAAGTAAGGAAATGTATGCATAATGCAGAACATTTTGCTTTTTTGCTCCTTGTTTTTCAGTTATCTTCAAAGCCATAATAGTCTGAGAAAAGAAACACAATGAGTTTCATGTTCCTTTACAATTACTGTTCAAAAGTGTGAAATATGTTGTGTTGATTTGTTGCTGCTAGAATGTGTTTACCAAGATGTTGCCTAGAAATGTCTCTGGTATATTCACCTATCTCTCAGTCATTGCATATTCATTCATTCATTTATTCAGCATTCCATAAATTCTTACATGGTTGAACACCAATGGATATAGAAATAGTCAACATGAGTAAACATCACATACTGCATCACAATTGTGTAATGTCATACCAGTTAAAAATAATAACAATATACAACATGAACAAAAACCATCATCTATAACAATAAAGCACTATCAACTACCACCTGTAACAAATCCAAAACTTTAATTGTTGTCACAGTTAAAGTATTTGTCCAATGAATAAAATGAATTTAAAAATATGAATCTTTGAACAGCAGACCTAAATTTTTTAATCTCATGAGCTTGGTCTTTTATGTTAGGTGGAAGTTTATTAAAAATTTTAATTCCAAAATAATATGTTCCCTTTTGAAATACAGTTAAGTTACATGGGGGATAATGGAGGTTATTACTATGTCCTGTGTTGATTGTGTGACATATTGCCCTATGGAGGACATCCCCTCCCTCACCAGCGGTGACGTAACAACATCGGGCACTGTCGCTACTACAGTAACAGGCCAGTCAACACTCCACCCCCCTCACCCGCGGTGATGTAGCGGTGGATGCCGCGGTTGCTATGCAGCAGTAAACAACTGTCGACAGAGTTGCCCAGCAACACCTGTAAACACAGCGACTAGGCAACAAGGAAGCGAGGTGTTTTCCCGTTGTCTGGCTGAGGGTTTATAAGAGAACTGCACTGCCTAAGGAGTCAGTTAAAATGTAGCAGCTGCCAAAGACAGTTGAAATATAGCAGCAGACAGAGGAAGAAGACCCGAATGCGTGGTTAGAAGATCTTATGTGATATTGTGCGATAACTGAGAAGTCAGCAAGTGAAGACTTATTGTGTGACTTCAAGATTGTGCACTGTAGTACAGTTATATTCTGTCTTCGCTCGCTTGGAAGCCGGGATCGTGGGTTCGAATCCCACTCAGGGCATGGATGTTTGTGCGTGTTTTTCTGTGTTTGTCTACAGGTAGAGGTCTTGCGACGAACTGATCACTCGCCCACGAAGTCTTACAGTATGTGTAAGATCTAGTAAACCGAAGTGAAACAGAGAGTTTCATGGAGGTACGCCTAGGCCCAAAATTGGGGCTGTAGCGCCACAGAAAGAAAAAGTACAGTTATATTGGGAGAGACTTGTATAGCTCCCACATTATAAATATATGAAGACTACTGAAGACAGAGTGAATAGATTATTGTGCAGGGTTTATAAATTGGGTAAACCCACAACTGTATTATAAATTAATTGTAGTTACAACTTGTAGGTCGTTAAATAAACCAATTAACAATCCGAACGGCGTCTTTATTGGCAAAACACGTTATAATTGTATGAACAGTCCTACAGGCTACAATACCAATACCACAGTACAGTTCAGTTAAGAGTATTTTAGCAAGTGAGGATGATGTGAAGGAGATTTTGATTCTGTCACTTGTGAGTATAAATGTGTAGAGAGCAATCATTAGCAATCTAGTGGTGGGAAGTGAAGGAATTTTCAAAAGGCCAGATCAAGAAAATAAGTACAAAACCTCACTTCCAAAATCCACTGTAAAATAAAATGTAATGTATTTACCCATGCACTCCCTATTGGAGTCAATTCTCTCATCTCGGGTAACATCAATTGGTAACGAGTCATCTCCAAGGCTCTTCATCTCATCTACAGTGAGGTAGCGGTATGGCTGGTCACTCAGCATTGTGTCCTCACCTGGAACACATGCTCTGTGCTTTAGCAGGAACTCAACTCACACATATCTCTCAATGAAGTTTAAAACTCCCAAACACGTAGGCTCCAATCTCTTTGTTCTCAAGTTAGCAATTCAAGGATGAGGTACAGTGATCCACTATGCGGAATGAAAGAGGTTCTCAAAACCTCTATCATTCACACAGTGGATCACTGGGCTGAGGGCAACAAACGTTGCACAAGAAATCATCCAAACAAAACTGTCCTATAACATAAATGCCAACAAAAAACAATCAGACACAAAACAATCAATCTGAAATATCATATAATGAAACCATGAACATACAGCCATGTGAATACTAACTTCTATGCAGAACATGGGACTACCACTAAATAGATCCATTTGGTATCATGTCAATTCCACGTGGAATACATGGTAGAAGAAATTAAGTTGGAGCACATTCTTCAGGCTTCTCTTACCATTCATTTCACCGCTCTGATCTACAGATTCATCAGTAGGGAAAATACTCTATGGTTGACATAAAACTATTACATCATGTATATATATATATATATACGAGGGTAATTCCAAAAGTAAGGTCTCCTATGTTTGAAAATATAAAATAAACATTTATTTTCAATTTTGGATACATCAGTTGAATCTTGAACATGTACTCATTTCTCTACATAATCGCCATTTCGGTCGATGCATTTTTGTAGGCGCAGTGGCAGTTTTTGTATGCCCATGTCATACCAGTTCACCTCCATGCTGTTCAGGAAACTTCGAACCTCAGCTTTCACCTCATCATCATTGTTGAAGCGCTTTCCAGACAAATGTTCTTTCAACTTTGGAAAGAGATGGTAGTCACTGGGTGCCAAGTCCGGATTATAGGGTGGATGGGTGATGATGTTCCATCCAAACTGTTGCAGTTGAGCGACGGTTTGTCGGGCAGCATGGGGGCGAGCGTTATCATGGAGAATGCTTACGCCCTTGCTCAACATCCCTCTTCTCT